ATGGAAATAAAGTCTTTGTAAATAGGGGAAGGGTGGAGGGCGTGAAGGGAGGGCTAGGAATGGGGAAAAAATAAGAACCAAGATGCACTATGTAAAGGTACAATTCCCAATGAGAAGTGTTGTATACCTACAATGTACCAATGAAAGAATTTAATACAAAAAAACCCACATGTTCAAGTTTTTAAATGTAATGGAAAATACTTTAGAGTTCTGTACAGTATCTCTGACAAGAATAAGTTATTGAATCTAAACTCCTGGAGCTACTGAATATTCTTACTACCTGAAGTAACCGTTTAATATTTATGCTTTCAAAGTGAAAGTGATTCAGTTCTCAATCTTTTCAAGGTAGACTCCGTTTATAAGATGATAATCCTTTGTAGAGAAAGTTGTGTTTTCAGTGGAGAGCCAAGTTTCTCCTACTCTTGAGTTTTGATCATTGCTGCTGTTACACAGAAAATGAACATTTTTAAAAGAAATAATTGTATAATAAAGTTCTTACTCATCTCTTATGGTGCTAGGAATGGAACCAAGGGCCTCGCTGCATGCTAGGCAAGCACACTACATCCCCAGTCCTTAAAAACAACTTTTTAGGGCCGGGGATTTAGCTCAGTGGTTCCGGCCCCTGCCTTAAAAGTGCAAGGTCCTGAGTTCGATCCCGGTATCAAAAAAAACAAACAAACAAAAAACAACTTTTTAAACCAGTGCTCCTTCCATACTTGATTATAGTACAACTTAGAAATAATTGGAAAAATAATTCTTCATACAGAACTGAAAAGTGCTTTGTAAACTGTAGTTCATCATAAGATTATTTTAATTTGTAGAGTATCAGAAATCTTATGAAAAAGGTTAAGATTTTTTATTTTTTGGTAATACCTCGGGAATTAAATGGGGATTTAAAGTATAGCATGATCGTAAGCAAGTTTCAGATATTGCTGTTGGCTGAAAATTGTAAGGTATTTTAAAAAAATCAAATTAATGCAATTACTGTAATTCAACAAGAACTCTTAATTTTTTTGCTAGTAAAATATGACTGAATTTTTTTTTTTGTACGAGGGATCAAACTCAGGACCTTGTGCTTTTGAGGCAGGTGCCAGAACCACTGAGCTAAATCACCAGCCCAAAATATGACTGATTTTTATCGTTTCCTTTCCTGTTGTTGTTTTTTTTGTTTTTTTTTTTTACTAGTTTTCTTGGAAAAATAATTCTTTTAAGATGGCCGTATCTCCCAGCTCCATTCGGTACTGAGAATTAAACCCAGGACTTTCACATTGAACTATATCCCGGGACCTTTTTTGTGGGGGAAGCGTCTCGTTAAATTACCTAGTCTGGGATCCAATTTGTAATCCACCTGCCTCGGCTTCTTAGGGTTCTGGAATTACAGGTGTGAACCACCACACCCAGCTTTTATTTTTAATTTGATATCACTAAATTGCCCAAAACAGCCTTGAACTTTCAGTCCTCCTGCCTTAGCCTCCAGAGTACCTGAAATCGCAGGTGTGCACCACCATACCCAACTAAAGCAAGTCTTCTGAAGTTATATGACTAAAACACATGTTGTCTTCAAAGTCTATGTAATGCATTTAAATCTTAATATTAGGTCTTCAGAAGAGGTTATAGTATTTCCTTTTATTAATGCTAGGTTTGGAAAATGATCTTTAGATGATCATGTGGGTGTGTGATAGTAGTAGTATTTAGCTTCTGTCCTTGTAACATCTTTATTATAAGAGAACACTTTTGTCAGTGGGTTCATTTCAGCCCTCCATGACTCCTTCACAGGATGGGAAATACAAACTAGTTGAGGATAGTATGATCAAGTTGAAAGAATATTGGACACGGAAACAGATGGCTGGAGTCTGTGTTATACCAATTGATTAGCCAAACACCAATGTATTTTTTCATTTCTAGGTTTGATATATTATTCCCAGGCTACTTAGCCATGATATTTACAAAGACCAAATGAAATACGTCAGAGCATTTCGTATGATTTTAAGATATGATGAATTCATAGTATTATAGATATAAATTAGCTATTTGAATGAATACAACCATAATTACATAACTCTGCCTGGTTTTGCTTCTTGATTTGTCTCCCTTCTGACATATAGTTTCTCCTTAATTTTGTGTAATAAGTCACATTTCTAAGCAAACTAGGGTTTTTTTTCCTTTACGATAGATTCCTTTGAATTTTTCCTTTGATCACTACTGTACTTTTAATATTAACTGGAAAATTTAATTCACAACAAAATTTTATCAATAGGTCACCAGGGAATTCCATGTGGACATGTTTTTTGTGAACTGTGCTTGTTAACTGAAGAAAGCAGAATTGTGTGCCCTGGTTGTGAGGTAAGTTTTCTAATTTTTCCTTCTTTTTTTTTTTCTTTTGAGGGGGTTTCACCATGTAGCTCAGGCTGGCCTTGGACTCGGGGCTGTCCTCCTGCCTCAGCCTTTCAAGTGCATGGATTACGAGGCGTGGGGCACCACTCCCAGCTTAATTTTTCATACCGAATAGATTAAGATTACAGCCTAAAGTTAAAAGTAAAAATGTTACAGAAACTAGTTAAAAACTAAAAATTTATCTCTTTCTGATGAGTCTTTAAGCAAAGAAGCCTAAAGAATTATAAACATTTTTCACATCCATTTTGTAGTTGTTCACAGTGATCAAGAAAAGTAAAAGACTAAAGTCATATGCATTGCTGACATGTTTTGACTCTTTGGAGACCTCTGTGGAAAATGACCTCTTTATTTCAGTGGAGTATATTCCTTTCGAGTCCCTACCCTTCCAGCCTCTTCCTTTTTCACACCAATACCATGCATGCACATTCTGACCTCTCCCTGCCCCTCAGTCTGTGTGTCATCAAATTTACATTTGTAGAGATACCATACTATGAAAAGGCAGGGAAGCAAAACAACTGCCTAACATTTGTTTCAGAAGTACTGTACTAAATACAGGACAACTGGGCTAGTGGTGCATGCTTGTAATCCTAGGTAGGAGGATTGCTGGGAGTTTGAGACCAGCCTGGGCTACATAATTGAGTTCAAGGCCAGCCTGCACTATAAAGCGAGACCCTGTCTCAAAAAAATTGCTAGATATCTTTTACTACAAATATAAATGTAGTTTATGCATGTTCTGGAAAATAGTGGCTTAATCTGTAAATTCTTTTATTTTTTGTATAAGGAATTGAACCCAAGACTCTTGCATGGAGTTAACATCCCCAGCCCATTTTTTATGTCTTGTTTTGAGTCAGGCTCTTATTTTCTAAATGTCCATTCTGGGATAGAACATGTGATCCATCCACCTCAGTCTCCCAAAGTTCAGGGATTATGGGCAGTTAAATCTGTAAATTTTTAACATGCCACTAGAAAGGCCATAGATTGGATTTATATCCAGTGTTTTTTGTGGCAGTTTTCCAGACAAACGGGGACACAAGACCTAGAAGGCAATTCTTGTTTTGTTAGCCTCATCTGAGCTTTCTCACTTGGGAGATGGGAATAGTAACCTGTTTTGCATATCCCATAGGATTGTGAGAATGAAGTCTGAATTATACGAAAGTTCTCTTCAAGATTCCAGGCCATTAAAATAATCCTTCATTATTTAGGTGTGGATGGTTTGCATAGAAGATAATATTGTAATTTGTGAAAGTTTAAATACAGCAGAAACATTTACATGTTAGAAGCAGTCTTTTAGGACTATGTAATTTACAGATTGTGCCCTTTATTGTGGGAAATTCCTGTCCCCTCTTCCTTGTTTGATATGTTCAGATCTGGCAGGCTACATCATTAAGACAAAGGGAGCCCTCACCTTCTACCTCTCAATGTGGTGAAAGATCCTGGCCGGTTTAGTGGTGTGGTTGGGGTTGAATAAGCACCAGGAAAGGGCAAGAGCAGACAGGTGGGACCATCTCTGCTATGTCTGTTCTGTTCTAATGTTGAAGAAACAAAAGATAGGTAAGAGTCATTAGGCCATAATTTCATATTTAGCAGTCTTAAGTCAATAAACTTGCAATAATTTTAGAATTTTGCATAACATCTCTAGGAGCGTTTACAATGTATTTGCAAACAATGGTTTTGATTTTAGAGTTGTGATAAATCTGCTTTGTGTCATTTTGACTAGTCTTGTTCTAGCTCTCACTTTGGGAGGTGACTTGTTCCATTCCCTTCACTTCAAACCCAAGTGATGGATAAATGACTGTATTCATATTTTTCACATGCGCTGGTTCGGTCCCTACTGAAAAGAGTCCTTTGAACTTCCTGAATTGCTACCTCTGCTTTTAAAATTTAGGGGTTTTTTTATTACCCAGTATTTATTTGGAATAAGGTATAGAGAGAATGGGAAAATCTAGTCTAGTGAAAAGTCTACTGCTAGGAGGAAAGGATAAATCATCCAATCAATGGATAATTAATAAATATTATTAAAATCTCATGTGATTAGAAATGTTACTAAGGGTCAGGGATTTAGCCCAGTGGTACCGTGCCTGCCTTGCAAGCTCAAGGTCTGGAGTTCGATCCCCAGTACCACAAAAAAAAAAAAAAAGGAAAAGAAATGTTACTGTTTAACCATTACAAATGTAAACTGGAAGAAATTACAAATAATTCTATGATCTTGGATAGGGAAGCCTTTTAAGCATATGGAAGTCAGAAACCATAAAAGAAACACTTAGTTTGACCATGTTTTTTAATTTCCAAGAGACAAAAACAAGCAAAAATACCATAAATAAAATTTAAATAATAAGCTATGAGGGTCTCATCTCACTATTTTATTACAGTTAGGTATTCAGAAATGTTTCAGTTTTTTGTTTGTTTTTGTTTTGTTTTATTTCGGCAGTACTGGGGATTGAATCTAGGGCCTTCAGCTAAGCTATATCCCTAGTCCTTTTTTATTTTTTGAGACAGGGTCTTACTAAATTGTCTCCCAGAGTACTGGAATGACAGAGGCATGCACCACCATGCCTGGCTATATTTCCCTATTAAGTACTCCACTCCATGGCTTCTAAATTTTCTTAGATATGGCAGATCTTCCTACTCAAATACTTACATCATTGTTTGGATTCTGGATAGTGGAGTGTGTTGAATGACTGTGCCTTTTTAAAAATTTTTTTTTAATTTTGCCCTAAGATTGCTACAGCTGTAAATATGAAACAAGGATACTGCCCAATAGACGAATATACTAAGGAAGATAATTTTATGGAAAAATTTCAACCTCAAACGTATGTATTTTTGAAATAATTTTAGAATTATTGATAACACATTCTTAATCCATGTTTCTAACCTATTGTCTTAGAGTGCTCTTTAAGTTCATAATTTGCCTTATCTGTCAGTGGATTGGCAAGGTCAGCTGTCCTGCCAGAAATTAAGAATGCAAGAATTAGAACGTGGCTGAGAGTACAATCCTAGCTTAAGCTATTGCTGCTAGATAAGAGGAAAAATAACTTGCTGTTTTGTTGATCTTAAGAGTGCACTCTTATGATATAATGGAAGACTTTGGGAAGAAGTGGTTTGAAAAGTGATTTGTGAAAAGAAAATAGTAATTTAGGGATTCTCTAAAGTATTGTTGCACGTATTTACTTTAGAAATGTAGATTTGATTTGATTTTTTTGGTGCTACTGGGGAATTAAACTCAGGTCTTTTGAAAATTACCTCTCCAGTCCTTTTTTTATTTTTTATAGGGTCTCCTTAAGTCACTAAGTTGCCTAGGCAGGAGTTAAATTTATAATCCTCCTGCCTCAGCCTTTCAGAAAGCTAAACTTTGAGATTCTTTTATTCTTCCGTAAGAGTTGATATATGTATATGTTAATAAGTACTCTTTGAATTCATAATACAGGGATCTTTTTAAACATACCTGAGCTAGAGATAACCACTATACTACTGGGGGGGGTGATAACTGGAATTGATCCCAGGCCTTTTGCACTGAGTTACATCCTTTCAGACAAAGTCTCAGTGAATTGCCTAAGCTGGTCTCAAACTTGCTGTCCTCCTGCCTCAGCATCACCCAGTGCTGGAATTATGGACTTGTGCCACCATGCCTAGCTTATTGTGTTTTTTATTGCACTTAATTATTTATTTTTGTTTTCTCTGCTAGTCTGTGAGCCTCTTTTAGGGCATAGACCCATTTTGTTTCTCTCTTGTGCAGGACACAGACATGTAATAAACATTTGTTAGATGAAAACCATCGTATGTCAATATTAGCTATAGTTTTTCTGAGGTCATATCTCAGTCCTAGCCAAGTTTACATTTAGGATTGTCTGTAGATTCAGTTTTGTGGAAAAAATGATAAAGTTTGACCTTGTAACTTTTTAAGTGGTAAAGAATCTTCTTACCAACTTTTCTGGGACCTTAGGTGGGATGGTAATTGTTCTTATATAACTTTTTAAAACATACTTAACATTGGAATAGACTGTGCTGGAAATAAATATAGGATTCACCCCTCCAGCTCTCCTCACCCTGTACTCAGGATTGAATCGAGGGCCTTCCCACTGAGCTACATCCCCAACTTTTTTTTTTTTCCTGAGGCAGGGTCTTGCTGAGTTGCTAAGTTGCCCAGGCTGGGCAGGAACTTGTGATCCTCCTGTCTCAGCTTCCCAGAGTGCTGGTATTCCAGGTTTGCACCACCATACTCAGCTCTTATTCTGTAAATGATACCAAGTAAACCATCCCAGTTCCTCAATTTCAATTCATTTCATCTCCTACAGATTCTCATTTCCACAATATCTCCTATATCCATACCCTATCTTCCTTTGCTACTTCCCTACTTCTCTTAGTCTTTTTTGTCTACCTCCTTAGCACTTCCATACTCTTCTTTGCTCTGTAATTTTTTTCATTTCTTATACATCCAGTTAAAATCCAAAATTGCTTAAATTGGGTTTCTCGGCTTTTCATATAACTACTGCAACTTCTCTTTTCAGACTTGAGTACTTAGGAAAGAATAAAAATGATTATAGTTACTTCTTTGGGTAGAAAGCCACTTAGCTGACATCTCACAACTGATTATTGACAAAACCAGATTGAGAACTGAGGCATATTGAATGCCAGTACATTTCCCAACTCCTTTAAATGTAGTTCATTAATCATTTCCTCCACGAGCTCTGTGTAGAGTGATTAAAATAAATCTTTAGACTTTCTTCTGTCTCATTGTAAGTAGTAGCCATAGGTCTTATTCCCACAAAGTAGCCATTTTAGTCAAATTTGGGGTTCCCACATTTGAACAGTTCTGAGTCAAGCCAATAAGTTACTGGGTGAGGTAGACTGAGTTTAAATAGTGAATTCTAAGAACTGTGGCAAATCAAAAGGGCTTACTCCTACCAAAGGAGCCAACCTCTGTTTCTTGCTAGCCAATTATTGCTACATGTTAAGAAAACCCAGTATTGCTAGATCTTTTTCTTTCCCCCCAAATAAACTGAGCTCTTTAATTCTGTATGAAATTTTCTGACTTAGTGCAAGTCAAATAAGATCATATTCTTATCTAGATATGTATAGTATCTACTAGGGTTGCAAAGTGAATGTCACTTTCAGAGGTGGAAAAATTCATCCTAACCAGAGAGTTCCCAAATTCATTCCAAATTGCCATTTTATAAATTAAATTCTCCATGTATACTTAAGTTAGAACCCCTGCTCCATAATTCAGGTACAGTTCAGTTTAATATACTTGTATGTTTTTAAATTGTAATGTGCCTTGACTCCATATATTATTGGTTTATCTTTAATATTTTGAAACAGGAATTGAATAATGAACTCCTTAGGACTTACATATTCACATAAGTTTTCAAAACGTGGCTAAGTCGCCCTTCAAAGTAACAAAATACTGGAAAATTAATTTGGTCTTATTGTTTCTATCAGATAACATATTTAAGTATCACAGTTTATTCCATGAACTATAAGCTTAAGATTAACTTAGCAAATACTAAGTGCTTACTGTGTGCTGGCCAATATAAAGATAAGATATAAGGAGAAAAATCAGTAAAAATTCTGACTCTTTAGACAAAAGAATGCAAGGGGTCTTTATAATTAACTTAGTTAAATTCATTATCTTTTTTTAAATTATCCAAGCATATCAGTACAGTTTTTAATAGCTAGCATTTCTGTGTATAAGTATTTTTAATTTGTGTAAAAGTACTTATTTTAATTGATGAAATTAAGACATTAATTTGATAAATTCAATCATTATCAACATCCCTACCAAAAAAAATCAGGTAATAAGAGGTAACTAAGAAATTAAACAATATATACATTAATCTATTACTTTTAAGAATTTATTAAGTTGGATTCTTAGCCAGGCATGGTGGTATATGCCAATAGTCCCAACACTCTGTGAGGCCTAGACAGGAGAATTGTAAATTCTGGCCCAGCCTGGGCAACTTAGACCCTATTTCAAAATTTTAAAAAGGGGTGGGGATGCAGTTCAGGGCAAAGACCCTGGCTTCAATACCCAGTACTACAAAAAGGAAGTACTGAAGTTGATTAAAATTAAGTTTATATGACCGCACATTTCCCCATTGTGTCCCTCTCCCTATGATCTAGAACCCAGTATTCATGTTCTTATAAAGCATCATATGAATTATTTTTTGATACGAAATAAAAATCGTAATAGAAGGTTAAAACTGTATATTTATGCTAATATTTAGAATAATGTACTTGGCATTTTTCAGGATGAACTGCTCTCCAGACTTTGAAAAGATGGCTGATCATGATCAGCTAACTGTTCATGTGGAACATTCAACTTCCATTCACAGGACTGTGTTGAGCTCATCAGGTGTAACATTGGTATGAAAAATATCGGTCATGATGTACAATGAAATCAGGCATTTTGCTTTGTCTCTAGTAGCTTAATTTTCATCTCTCAAGTTTCCTATAATTATAGGGGTTTTTTGCTTGGAAGCTTAAAGATATAGAAATCCACTTTCTTTGTTTGACTCTCTTTTGCTTGAATGATTCTAAACTACACTTAAACAGCTCTCTTTTCTTGAACAGTTCTTTTTCTTCCTGAATTTCAAAGTTCTCGATATTTACCTGTATCTAGCTTCTTCCTTTGAAGTTGGGTTTTCCAGTTATTTTGATGGCAACCAAAAGGCCTGGTTTTGTTGTTGTTGATGATGATACTGTTGTTGAATTTCGAATTTTACCTAATGCTACTTCCAATAACTTTATGTCTGGGGTGTTTGTTTGTTTGTTGTGCTGTGCTAACAATCCAACCAGGACCTTGCACATGTCAGGCAAGGCTGTATCACAGAATCACATCCCCAGCTTTTACATACTGTATTGTTCTAATGTAAGATAAGAAATAAAGCAAATTGCAAAATACTCCAGTAATGAATTATAAAGTATTTTTATTAAAACCACTAATGAGCAGGGGGAAAGGAATAAGCAATGTAATCTTGCCATCTTTTACTTCAGGTTTATATCTCCATATAGCCAAAATAATATTTTTAAATAATACTTTTCTTAAAAGCTAATTGAAGTTTTGTACATGTACATTTATTGCCATGACAAATTGTCCAAGACAGTTACAGGGTGTAATTTTTAAAAAAATACATCTCTATGGAAATCTAGAATGCTGTAATCAAAGTTTAAAGAAGGGTAAACAATTAGAATTACCACCACTACTGCTTGTTTTTAGATTTCTACTGTGTGTCTGTGTTTCTTATGTAACCAAAATGGTAGATTGAAGTTTTCACAACTATGATATGTATCCAAACATTTGTTTTTATACTTTGTATTTGTATGTGGCTCCCCTCCCAGGAGACTAAAACTACAGAAGAAATTGATGAAGCATTGAAGATTGCAGGCTATAATTTTGAACAATTAAGTATTGCTGTAAAAGTAAGCATTTGAATGATTAAGTTCTAAAAATTAATGGATAAATTCTAAAAAGAAGTTAAGCATGTCCTCTTTAAAGAATAGAAAACTCCTCACATAGCCTGCTAGGATTGGGCCTGTAGCATTGCTGCGTTAGAAACCTAGTGAAATTCAATCTGTATTAAGAAACCATGACTTACACTTCCTGTGAGCAGAATTTTGTCTCAGAAGTATTACATGACATCTTTCCAATATTTGTCCACTGTTTGGTTGTCTTCCAATTGAGAGTCTTTATTCTTTTTTCTCCCTGCTCTACCTAGAAAAAGATAGACTGTTTTGGTGACAAGGAACAAGCTCTTAAGCACCAAGCAATAGCAAATTACAGTTAAGGAGTGCAAAAGTTATAACTGATTGTGCTTTTCTGCATAGAAGTATATTTTTGATTGGCTAGAAGTCACTGTAGCAAGTCAACTTTCTCAAAAGGAGTGAACATTTGATAAAAGTAATAGATCCAGAACTATGAGAGGAGAAAAACATTGAGAAAACAGAACAAAGAATGTTACCTGTGATGGGAATCAGTTACAAGATAATTATCACATATAGTGAGAAAACAAAATCTGTGATAAACTAACTGGAGATAGTCTTCAACATCTGAATTTGAGAAGGGCACAGTTTAACCCCACGCAGAGTATCTCCATAGTCTTATTTTTTTCCATGCAAAATACATCGACCATATCTCAACATCCCTAAAGTCTTAAAACCCCATTCCTGCATCAATTCTAAGTCCAAAGTCTCACCTGAATATCTTCTAAGTCAGATACAGATGAAACTCAGGGTGTACTTCATCTTGTAGCAAAATTCCTTTGCAACAGTGAGCCTGTGGATCCAGACAAGAAGTTACTTCCTTGTAAAACAATGTTGAGACAGTTGCAGGTCCTTTTGGAATGGGAACGTGGAAAAGAGGGATCATGGATTCTAAGCCACGGGTTTTAAAACTGTAAAAGTGCAGTGAGAACTGGTACATGTATGTGACGCATGTTCATTCTTTTTACCCCTTTCCCCACTCCTCCTTACCCTTCCCTCCGTTTCTTGGTCCCCTGCCATAGAGAAATTCAACTATCCCAGATAATTTGTGTCCGATTTGACTAAAAAGGGATAAGAAAAAGGTTAGGACCTGGGTGTGGTGGAACCGACCTATAATTCCAGCTGCTTGGGAGACTGAGGCAGGAAAACCCTTAATTTGAGACAAGCCTGCACAATACGGCAAGACCCCATCTCCAAAAACAAACTTTTTAAAAAAGCTTACAAAGGTTATCAGTGGGTTTTTTTGTTTTTTGTTTTTTTTTGTCTTTTTGCCAAATTATCAGTACAAAATAGGGGGGAAAATGTCTTGCTGATGAGTACCAGAATTTAAAGTTGAGCTTTGTAACTTCACCTGTGTGTTACCATCTACTTCTTGTGTTGATATTTTGAAAAGTCTAGAAAATACCTTTTACTTTTGAAATTATATTGACAGTACAACTTCTCTGAAGTAAAAATACCAATCCTTGAATTGTTTTTGTCAGATGCTTGAACGCACACAGAATCAAACAAAAGAGGAGACAGACAGTCTTATAGAGGTTATGGAGAAACAGTTTGATAAAATTTTTGCTTCTCTTGACTCCAGGTAATGTAAAAATAATGATTCAATTAAAACTGAAGTTTTTAACATTAACTTGTCCTTTTATTTCTTTAGATTAATAACTTTTAAATAGGTTTGAAAGGTAGGAGTAGTCTCTACAGACTGATTTTTAGAACTTCAAATTGAAAAACTTTTTTTTTTCCTTGTACTAGGAATAGAACCCAGAGCCTTTGCACTGAGCTACAGCTCCAGCTTTTTAAATTTTTTTTTTTTTCGGGTAGGATATCACTGAGTCACTGAGGTTATACAGGTTGGGCTTACACTTGCAGTACGCTTGCCTCAGTCCTCCAGAATGCTGGGATTACATGCATGTACCACACCGCACCTGACTGAAAATTTTTTGCCTTTTTTTTTTTTTCAAATGGCTGCTTACTGTCGGGTTCCAAAGGTAACTTTTTTTTTCCTGGTACTGGGGATTGAACCCACCAGAGCTTCTGTACTGAGCTACATCTCCAGCCTTTTAAAATTTTGTTTATGTTAACTACCTTCCTACCTAAGGCAGTTAGCTCAGAAAAAAACTTTCAAAACCTAACTTTTGCTATGGAATTCAGCATACTTAGGAAAATACAAACAGAACTTTCATAACATTTTTCTGATATAGTTCTGTCATTTTCTCATGTACTTATTTGCATCAGAGTAGAAAAGGCTAATAAGCATGACTAAGTGAATAATATTGACACTTTTTTAAAGCTCTTTGATATGTATTATTTTTAATCAGATTATATAGGTAAAATAGACATTCCTTCCATTAAAAGTTTCAATTAACAGGTGCATAAAATTTGTGATATGTTCAGCCTAATATACTTAGTACCATCATTTGTTCATTTGACTTTTAGGTAAGTACTTTTTAAAAAAATGTTTCTGTGTGATACCTGCACATAGACCTGATCTTCTGTGTTGTTTGTTTGTAGCACTGAGGATCAACCCAGGGTTTCATGCATGCTAGGCAAGTGCAATACTACTGAGCTACATCTCCAGCTCATAGTTGATATTATTTATTCTCCACATTAGTGCTGTCTCCTATTTTCTCTTAAGCTTTAACATTCAAGTGAGAGGTTAGGTACAGGAGTTTTGGGTAGTGTTATTTTGCAGCTTTAGTGGGAAAATATGCATAATATATTTTCTTTTTAACTATTTTTCTTTGAAAGATAATTACTTTGTTGTTAACCATTTATAAATGTATAGTTTAGTGGCATATGGTAATTATATATATAACCTTTTGAGGAACAGCCAAACTTTTTTCCATAGGGGCTGAACGTATCATTTTACTTTGCCACCAGCACTATATAAGAGTTTTATTTTCTCTACATTCTCATCAACTTGATATTTTTTGTTAGGTTATTTTGTTGTTGTTGTTGTTTTCTTGTTTTCTTGTTTTTTAATAGTAGCCATCCTTAAGGACATAAAATAGTTTCTCGTGGTTTCTTTCCTGCATTTTCCTGATGCTAGTGATATTGATCATCTTTATGTGGGCTTATTTATTGGCTATTTATATATCATCTTTGAAAAAAATCTAAGTGCATCATCCATTTTGAATTGAATTATTCTGTTGGGGTGTTGGACTTTAATATCCAGAATATATAAACAACTATCCTTTGAGTTGCCTTTTCACTTTTTTGATAGTGTCCTCTGATTCATAAAAGTTTTTAATTTTAGCTAGGTCTGGTGGTACAGGCCTGCAATCCCAGAACTCTGAGAGGCTAAGGCAGGAGAATCACAAATTGAAGCCCAACCTGGGAATTTTAGCAACATAGACCCTATCTCAAAATAAAAAATGGGGATCTAGCTCAGAGCCAAGGCCCTGGGTTCAATCCCCAATACTGAAAAGTTTTTTTAATTTTCTAAGGTCTAGTTTATCTGTTATTTCTTTTGTTGCTTGTGCTTTTGGTTCATATCCAAGAAATCATTGCCAAATCCAATATCATGATAACTTTTCCTCTGTTTTCTTCTAAGAATATTATAGTTGTAATTCTTACATTGAGATTTTTAATCCATTTTGAGTTTAATTTTTATATATAGTGTAAGTGTCCAACTGCTTTCTTTTGAATTGAATATCTTGTTTTTACAGCATCATTTTTTGAAAAGACTGGCTTTTCCCCGTTGAATAGTCTTGGCATCCTTATTAAAAATCAGTTCACTATATATATGAAAGTTCAGATCCTAGGCTTTCTGTTTTAGTTCATTAATCTCTATATCTTTATCCCAGTACTGCATTATTTTGATTACTATAGGTTTGTAGTAAGTTTTGAAATTAAAATGTGTGAGTCTTCCAACTTTGATCTTGTTTTTTGAGATTGTTTTGGATATTTGGAGTCTCTTTTAAGATTCCACACAATTTTTAGGGTAAGTTTTTCTATTTCTGCAAGAAATGTTACTGGGATTTTAATCTGAGTTGCATTTATTTGTAGATCACTTTGATAGTATTAACATCTTAACAATATTGTCTTCAAGTTTGTAAATATGAAATGCTTATTTATATCTTTAATTCATTTAAGCCATTTTATATAGTTTTTGATATACAAATCTTTCACCTTCTTGGTTACCTGCATTCTTAAGTATTTTGTTCTTTTTGTTTTTATTTTTGACACATATTTATTTATACATATTTATGAAGTATAATGTGATGCTTTGGTTCATAAGCAGTAATCAACTCATGATAATTAGCATGTTAAATTTTTTCATTTCTTTTGGGTAAATATATTTAGTCTTCTAGCTATTTTGAGATTAGTAATGTATTGCTGTTACTTATATTCACCCTACTGTGCATAGAACACTAGAGTTTATCTTTCCTATTAGTAACTTTGTACTGTTTTTTGTTTGTTTTGTTTTTAGTAACTTTGTACTGTTGATGAACTCCCCCCACCGTCTCCTGTTTTCCCATCACTGTGAAACACTATTCTTTCAACTGCTATAAAATCAATATTTTTAGATTGTACTTATGAGTGAGATTATGTGGTACTAGTCTTTCTGTGGTTGATTTGTTTTCCTTAACACAGTGTCCTCCAGGTTCATCTGTGTTTTCACAAATGACAGGATTTTATACTTTTGTGGCTAAATAGTACTCCACTATGTGTACATGTTGATCAAGATATATGGTGAATGTTTAAAATTTTTTAAATATTCCATTATAGTAAAAGGAATTAATTACATTAATTCCCCTCAAAATACTCCCCCTCACTTTCAACACACTTATTCCATCATCCTTGCCACTTTCTGAAGCAGTTCTGGAAGTCCTCTTGTGAGTGTCTTTAAAATACAGTGTGATGGGGCCAGGGATTTAGCTCACTGGTTTTGCTGCCTGCTGAGCAAGCACAAGGACCCGAGTTCGATCCACAGTACCAAAAAAAAAAAAAAAAAGAAAAGAGACAAAATACAGTGTGATCAAAAGTACAGTGAAGGCTGCTGCTGAGTGCCATTCAAAGAAAGGCTGGCTCATAAAAATATTATGGTGTGTCCTCATTCACCTTATTCACTGGATCTTGCACCACGGAATTTCTGGATCTCCTCCAAAGTTAAAATGACCATGAAAGGTATGTATATTAAATTGATTCAAGGTATCAGGATAGCCGTAGCGGCACAACTAAAAATACTCACAAAAGAGGACTTAAGAACAACTTCAGGAAGTGGCAAAAATGATGATGTGTGTTCAAAGCATGAGGAAATATTTTGAGGGGAGTTAAGGGCAACGTGTTGGGCTTGGGATTTAGCTCAGTGGTTCCGGCGCCTGCCTTGCAAGTGCAAGGTCCCAAGTTTGATCCCCGGTCGGTACCAGAAAAAAAAGGGCAATGTGTCTTTAATAAGTTTTTTAAATTTTAACCACTCACCATATTTTTCAATCATACTGCCTATGTACCTCATTTTCTTTACACATTTATCGCTTTTTGTTTGTTTGTTTGAGACAGAGTCTCCCTATGTATTAGATTGGCATTAAAATTGCTATGTAACCCTTGGCTGGCTTGAATTTAAGATCCTCCCGCTTTAGCTTCCCAAGTGCTAGGATTATAGGTGTGCACCACCACCTGGCTCCATTCATGTGTTGATGGGCATTTAGGTTTATCCCTTATCCTAGCTATTGTGAATAGTGCTGCAATAAACACGGTAGTCTAGATGTCTTTTTGACATGTTGATTTCATTTCTTTTGGGTATATACCGAGCAGTGGGATTGCTACATCATAAGGTCGTTCTTTTTTGGGGAAACCTCTATGCTATTTTTAAATTATTTTTTGTTTCTTGGTACTTGTTTGCAGTACGTAATGTTTACATTTCTTATAGGAAGTTGGCACATGTACATAACACATCTTCCTTTTTTCAGCCCCTTTTTCCTTCCCTCTCTCCATTTGTTGATCTTCCCATTTGAGAAAGATCTCTCTCTCTCTACCTCCTGCTATCTTTTATTTTGGTTTTTATATTTTGGGCTTCCCACATAAGAGAAACTTACGTGGTATTTAAGCTTATGCATCTTATTTATTTAACTTTAAATAATGGTCTCAAGGTGCATCCATTTTCATACAGAGGACTCAAGTTTATCTTTCTTTACTATTTTTCATAATGGTTGAGCTAATTTAATTCCCACTAATAGTGAGTAAGAGTTTCTTTTTCTCCTCATCCTTGCCAGCACTTGTTTATGCGTGGGGTTTTGGCTTTTGTTTGGGGGGGGGGTTGGTTGTTTTATTTTGTCTTTTGATAATAGCTATTCTCTGGGTAAGGTGATACTGTATCTCAGTGTGGTTTTGCTTTGCACTTCCTTAATGATTAGTGACATTGAGCCGTTTTTCATACATTTGTTGCCCATTTTTATGTCGTTTTTTGAGAAATGTCTGCTCAGATCTTCAGTCCAGTTTTAAATTAGGTTTTCTTACTTTTGAGTTGTTAACCTTCCTTATATATTCTGGATATCAACCCTTGTCAGATGCATGTTTACAAATATTTTCTCCCATTCTGTAGATTGTCTCTTTGCTCTGTTGATTTGTTTCCTTTGCTATATA